ACAAGGTGGCAGCACTCGTTGCAACGAATCTATTGACATAGTACAGCAAATAGTTGTGTGCGAGGTGCAGACTTTTATAAACTCGGAAAAACTACTCTCATAATGACAGCTACTGGTGTTGATGCATCACGTGATTTTTTACGTGCTGCACAGCGGGGTGATTTAGATAAATTAAAAGAGCTATCATACCGATGCGAAATCCAAGACTGGACTGTTTATCGTCACGGTAGTAGCGGCGATACGGCGCTACACGTAGCGGCGCGAGAGGGCCATTTGGAAATTGCCAAGTACTTGTGCAACGACTGGTCATATCCGGCATTCAAAGTTGATGTTACTAATAAAGATATGAAACGACCACTCCACGATGCATCTCAGTTTGCACACTGTGATATTGTTGAATTTTTAATTGGCCAAGGTTTGTATTGTTTGTCTCTCCAGAGTGAATAAGTGGATTACAACTAAGATAATCACAACAGAACATTATTAATTAAAACCTTCCCCTCGCCTTTCGAAACTTTACCTTCACCTCATATAAATTTAATGTAGTTATTCCAAACACCGTGAAATGACACATAGGAAACTCAATTTATTCACTGAATAACTCAGATGAAAATAATTTCCACCATTCATCTGGTTGACGTTGGTTATTCGATTTTGAAATGCACTTTTGAACCAAGTTAAATGCCTTATATCAATGATGGTGTTTCTCATTCAGAAATGGCGATTGATGTGCTATAATGCTTCTTACCATTTGATATTGATAATGAAGTTCGTTTTAGGAGCGGAAGTGGATGCACTAAAACGCGCCGATTGGACGCCTCTAATGTTGGCATGCACTAAGGGCGGTCCGGAAGCTGAAATAAGTGTCAATGCATTGTTAAAAGCAGGAGCTAATCCAATAATGAGGAACAAGGATGGATGGACACCGTTATTATTAGCCTGCCGCTCTGGTGATGTGGTCATCATAAAAACATTACTACAGTTACCATCAGTTGTGGCCACAACGGCCAGTAATAACGGTCGAACTGCTTTGCATATCGCTGGTAAAGTTTTAATCATCACTTTGTCAAGATAATGTATTCCCGGGGACTTGATGAAAAATCCATTAATGCATTTAGCTTTCCACGGATGTGTCGACGCACTCAGGGTTCTGCTGAGTGCTGAGCCTCGACTGATCGGTATTTGCGATTCCTCTGGTTCAACACCACTCCACGAGTCCGTTAAGTCTCAGCGATTTCCGGCATTTCAGTATTTAATCAATTTTGGAGCGGATATTCAAAGAATTGACGCCGTTGGACAGACGATTTTGCACGTTGCTGCGACAGTCGGTAATTGCGCAGTTGTTCAATACATTATTGAGAATAAAGTAATTGATTTTCGATGGCGTGATAATTATGGAGCTACTCCATTGACTTGCGCTCAGAGAAGTAGAATGGATTGTGTAGTGGGTTTGTTACGGAAATGTGAAGAACACAGTATCTGATATGAAATAAATATTTTTTAATAGCCATTTTGAAGATTGGTACACATTTATTTATTCCATCTGGTCTAACGATATTTCCCTGCGCTTCAACAGAAACTTTTGTTTGCTGTGCCAAATTATTTCCTTTCAAATATTTCATTTCATCCTTTCATCATATAAAAGAAGACTTAAGACGGAAGTGTTTTTTACTCAAGCATTTGCATTTTGTAATTTTTTTTTTGTTTTGTTTTTGCATACTAGTTGAATAATTAAAAAAAATATTCAGTAGTTATTTGGGCAGTTTTAGTTGTTTATTTTTTTCCTTGCTTAATTTATTTACATTCCTATTATGTCAAGACTTAAGTTAAAATCTTACACTTATGTCCTCACATCAATTGTTTTTTTTTGTAGTATGTTTTTTTCATTGTTTTCCTTAGTGTTTTCAATAAATCAGATTGGGCTATTTAAACTAGTCTCCTCTCACTTATAAGTATCTCACATTTAGTTATTACTTAATGCATCCTTAATCATTGTTTTTCTGATTTACATTACAAGTATTCAACATGTACAAAGCATTATTTACATTATATACAAAAATTCATTTCTTTTCTCTCCGTATTTTCCTACGTTTATCTTTCTTCTTCTCTTTCGAAATAAATCCTTCGAAGAATAACGAGGGTAAGTAACTACAATAATTATAACATAAAAGAAAACGTAGTAACGTTTTGCTCTCACTTGCTCCCACACTTACTTTCATACCTTCAATCAACTTCTTCCTTTCATTCACGGTTTTCCTCAATTTGAGAGACAAGAAAGATTCTCCTTTTGTTTCATTTTAAAAAGTCTCACTATATCAGGCTCATTATTCTTTTCCCACACGATTATTCGAGCCCAGTTGTCATTTTGTGGCAAGGAATCGCGGAATGTGATACATTATTATTTTTCATCGTTTTGACTACTTTTTTATTCGATTTTTGCGTGCACATAGTTTTTAAGAAATTGTGTTCCCTTTACAACATTGCTGTTCAATATATTGAGTTTGCTCTCCGATTGTCATAAAATTAGCAAACATTTACAATTTACAATTTTCTCGTCCAAATAGTTACTCCCATGTGTGTGCTTTTGTCTCAGGTCAAAGTACTAGAAGATTTTATGTCTACAACGGTCATCATTTAAATTTATTGCAGAGATATTTGTAGATTGGGAGTGGAATATTAACGATTTGGGAGTAAACGGAGAACATTGATACACTTAACACGGCCGTAACTCGATTGTGGTTATTAACTATTATAAATTGTCTAGGATGATTAAATTCACCCGAGCTTGCGGGAGATTGCCATTAATGCGGTATTTATTCCTTCCCTCTTGTTGAGTTTTTCTTTTTAAATTTTTTTTTTTACAAAAAATCCGATCAATGAGCGGAAAATAAATAGTGATGAAATAATTATTAATTTTAATGCGTATTTATGTTCAAATTGACTGTATGCCCGAAAGAAAAAACTTAGTCTCGTACTAGCATTGATTAATTCATTTTTACAATAGTAAATAAGTGGTTTTCGACCTAGTCGAAAATAGTAACCAGTACGAGAGAAAATAATTCACAGTAATAAAAGAAAAGAAAAATTGCGATATATGAAAAATAAATAGGGCACGAAATTTCTATTTTCTTTTAATTTAGTAAATCGACTATTTAAGACGCGAATAAGATATTTTATCTATATTTCAAAAATATAGTTAAAAAAACAGTGACTAAGTTTCGCCTCTGCCGTATCAATGAAAAATAATACGGCACTCGGAAAAATCGCACTATCTAATTACGAATATAATTTTCTGTTTTTAATCACCTCTGTTCCCTGGCGTTCATCCATTATTCCTTCGCACATGTCCCTTTTCCCCCCTCTCTCCTCCACGTTAGTACAACGTTATTGTATATAATACATATACATATCATTCTAGATATATTTATAAAAATAACATTTCGGGATGAAAAACGCAACGTACCAAAAATTTAATGTACAATTGATACTGGGAAACATCTGGAGGAAATTAATCTGACAATGATTATGACAATGGCAGTTGTGATTGACTCTTGCATTCGAACAAACCTAAACAAAAACATGAGGAAAAACGAGAGATAAATTTTTGGGAAATTTCATTTCCCAATCACGACTAGCCAAATGAGAATAGTTATATCGATTAAATATAAAATTGCGCGTCAATTCAATTTTCAATCGCTTTATCGACTGAATAACTGATTTTCCACACTTGTATCGTTAGTTTAATAAACGATATGTATGTCCAACTGTCATTTCAGTTTTCATCAGAGAAATCAAATAAAAAGATATGCGTAAATAACGTAAAAATGTGAATTTAGAGTCAACAAAGCCGCAATGGTCTCCCCCATCCAGTCTCAAATACGTTGTTTTCAAATTCCCGTAGATTTCGGCCCGCGAAAAAAAAAAACAAATTGAAATAAAGAAAAGAAGAAGAAACACTAGTGACTTTAATAAGACCATTGAAACAGTGAAAAGGAAAATAAATCGCTTCACCTAGAACGGCGATTATTATTGAGCTGTGGACGCCAATGAATTAATGAAAGGCGATTTTTAAAGTTCATAATATTTAACACTCGCTGTAGGACGGTGGGGGAACTCCACGGCCAGTGTACATGTCCGTCTGCGGCTGCAGATGACAGACAACGGTGTGTCCATCGAGAACAGCAACTGTTCTCGTATGATCCTGCTGTGGCATACCAAAATTACCTGGTGTACGATTCATCTCACCAAGCTCATACTTAGCCTGCTGCCTTCTCAACTTCTCCCAACAGGCATTCAGCGTCCTCTCCTGGGCTGGACTGTACTGCGATGGATCGTGCTGGAGTGCATTACGATCAACTGACTGTCCATAATGTATCAGTCGATCGTTGGCCGGTGAATATGGTATCAAAGGTCTATGGTCTCCATAACTGCGCGAAGACTGTCTACTCATATCGCTCTGCCTTCTACCATCCTCATCCGACATATCTGACACCTGAATTTCACCAACACCAACACCAATTCCACTTCCACCGCGTTCAATTTCCTCATACACCGGATCATCCTCCCCAACCAGACCCCTCAAATGTCCTTGATGATAACCACCCACTCTACCCCCATCCCGTATCTCTGTGTATGTATGATTGTACGGGGATGCAGCACGACGACCCGATGGTCTATTAACGCTAGTTATTTCCAAACTGTCGTTCAACTGACGCCTGTCCGCTCTGTGTGTTCTACCGGCATGACCGAGGGTCATTGTGTTGTGGGTACGAGGTGACTCCTCCTGCTCTGAACCACCGTGGCCTGAATCACGGGAGTACGACTTAAAAGAAATGTTCTGCAAGAAAAATTGTCGCATTTGTAAATCCATACACAACTACTAATTTTCTCATTTTTTATGATTTTTCTTACATCATTAAATTCCACAGTTAACGTAGAACATTCGTTAAAAAATTATAATCAATTTCTATGCACGGTTGACTACCGTTATAGTCGCGTGCATCGGGCTATAGGAGAAGTGAATTCGGAGAATTCGAATATATTCAACTACCTTCACCACGCACTTGCTATCACCGCAAATTGATTTTTTTCATAGCAAATACCAATATGAAAGAAAATGACTTTTCGGTTTTATGTTGTCCGAAATTATTTTTTTTTTTTAATAATATAATCTTCTACGAAGTTCAATGGAAATTTTACAAAAGGGTCTAACGAATGCGGTCGGTTTTTCTATGGAATTGTTCATACATGACATACTTCAACACCAATAGCATTTTCTCCATAACAAGGACTGATGTATAATCGAGTCCTTCAATTTTTTACTACTTCGATGTTTCGCATTACGAGCTTGTCTACAGAAATTCTAATTCTCACATTCTAATTACACGATATGCATATTAAATACTAACGAAAGTGTACCATTGCACAACATTGTTTAATTTGTCGTGAATAATGTAAGAGGAATAATTGAAAAGTATAATTCAAGAAAAAGATAATTCTCCAATCCGAGTGGTATTTCTATGGATTCTGTATTCTTCTCGAATTACACCAACTTGAATTATACATTTTGTATTACGTATAATAAATTAAACATTCACAAGTTTAATTTATACATTGTATAATTGGAACGGTACGTGATAATTTAATATCATTTAATATTCATATTTCATAAGTTGAATGGGAGGGGAATAATATCTGCAGACAAGTTTTCAAAATGCGGACATGTGGTGAGTCCATCTTGTGTGATACATCATTTCGTCGAGAAAATGTTGTGCTAGTGTTGGAGTACTCAAATTTTCTCTTTCCGTAACTGTTATCTGTTATTCAAGGTTATTCTTGTCAAATTCAAGTGAGAAAAGTAAGTGCGAAAAAGTGCACCAAAAAGCACCACCACAAAATGTTGTTAGTAAGAGAAAAGTAGAGTCTGTTTCAGTTCCACTAGATTGTTTCAGTTTTTTCAATGATTTAGTTACCTTCCACATGAGGTTTTTGTTAATAGGGCCCCAAGTGGCAGTAGCTGATTTTGGTAAATTATTGGTGGATGGAAAGAAGCCGTGACGAGAGTGTGGAAGGGTGGCCACTGCGTGTGCATCGGTCGTTGCTGTCTCTCGGGGCTCGTTCGCCACCGGAATTGGTTGTCTGTCGATGCTGCTTTGCCATCCACGTCCAGACATCAAGTACTGTAAAGCAAGGTATTCTGCCATTCTTATTGGCTGCGAAATATCGTCTCATTCTCAGTCACTCGTCAATTAAAGACTCAGTACTTTTCTACAGGTTTATGTCACTGTCAAATACGTCAGACACGTCTGAAGAGTCTGGTATTGTTAAATCGTCAGAAAGTGACGGCGTGCGTTATTAGTGAGTATCAAAGCCAAGTGTTAGAAGCTAATTATCATCTAATTACACGAGGAAACGAGCAAAAAAAAGTAATTGGAGTTGAAATCCATTTTTTTTGTATATCTTATCTACGAATCTTTCGAGAAATGTATTCTTCTACGTTAATTCCAGAAAAGTTGTTACTCTCCATATTTACAATTTCGCAGACAGATCACCAATTGCACGACACTTGTCGTATTCTCTGTTGCACACGGTGAGAACAAAGTAACCGTTAACCGCGTACACCAAACCCCCCACAGGGGCTACGGAAGAACCACCATTTGTTAGTTACTTAACTAGAGGTCTTTCTCAACAATTTTTACCAATTTTAAACTTCGAGATGGTAAGATGACTATGATACATGTACTGCTCTATTTTCTATATGATCTATTTACAAAAAAAAATAATGCCTCGTTAGTTGAGTGCTGAGTTAAATGTACAGAAGTTGAAAAAGAATAGAATGTGCTATAACTGAGATTAAATAAATCATAATGGTCATGCATGAGCTAAGGAGCTGAGCGTATTTCTCCAGATAGACACATACGGTCTTTTTCGATATCTTCTCCTGTTTCAATGGTAGATAATGAAGCATAAAACTTTAAGGAGTTTACATTGTGAAATGATAAAAAAAAATAGACCTTCAAGAGTATGGGTATGGGTTACTTGGCGACAGTGAAGCGGTAAATGAGACCTCGAACGGATATTCCATATTGGTTTGGTGTATAAGCGGTTTTTTATTGGATACCTTGTTGGCCGTGATGCCTATTGTGGTTGCTAGGTGCCATCATGTGCATCTGGTGTGAGCCATTCGGCGATCTCAGTGACAAATTGTTCAGGTTCACATTTATCGAAAGATTCGTATTACTAGCTGATGTTGTCAGGTTGTTGTGATTGTTTGATGGTGTACCCACATTGGATGCTGCATGGGGTGATAATCCAGAGCTATCTGTCGTTGGCGCTGATGGATTAGAGGATGTATTGTGAGATGGAAAGTCTTTTCCACCGTTAACACCAGCTGGTCCACCACTTGTTCCTGTTGAACCTCCAGAGCTGCCCGTTACTGTCTTAGAGCAGCGAAGACACTTGGGTAACCACGAGTGCCTCCTTATGAATTTTCTGTATTCCTTTCTCACCTGTAAAACACAAGCCCCAAGGTGCGGGAAAGAAAACAAAATAATTAAATCGTGCAATTATTAAAAAGCCGCGCTGTGAAGGGAGAATTTATCATCAAATAAATTTACGAAGCGTGACTCATTGGGACGGTTAAATTAATAACAGTAGTGATTACGTGGTCGGTAGGAATGCGTGTTGATAAGACGATTGGAAAATAACCGAGGGATGAGCTTATGCGAGGAGAATGACTAGTAGAAAATAGAGGAAATGAATAATCCTCGTTTGTGTCATGATTTATTTTCAACACACATCATAATTCCATTATTCATTATTTAGAATTTAATTATTTGAGGTCTTGAGAGTCGATTAGTTAATTTGAAGTCGATGATTGACACACTCTTTTTATTATCGAGTCGTAAATGGATGGAACAATAATGATGAATAATTAATAGTAAATTTTATAGTGGCGTGGGTGATAATCCAGTGTACTCCCTTACCTTTTCGTTTTGCACGCAATGGAATACAAATATAAATAGCCCTTGTAGGCTATTTAGTACGGTGAAGATGTATGCCATTATAACGGACTCTTGATTCAAGTACAGAAGGCCAAATGTCCAGGTCAGTCCCAGCAGGAATACTAGGACAATTGCACCGCGCAGCCATGCCCTATATTGTCAAGTGAGAGAGTTCATGAATAGATTAGACTAATGTATTTTCAGGTAAATCATAATAAATAGCGCTGGGACATTAATAATTGACAGAATGACAAAGGAGCTGTAGGTACATTTTGTAACTGGTACTATTCATGTTTGTCAATTCATTCGTCATTCATTCGTGTCGCGTTGTGTCGTGATGCACGGCATTATTAATATCTCAACGCCGTATTTATAGATTATCTAATTATAGTGAAAAGAAATATTGAAGGATCATATTGAATATTGAAGTCATCGAAGATATTTCTATAAATCTAGAAACAGAGGTGAATCTAACCGAGATTTAACTCCCACGTTGAACTTGAACGAGTAAATAAATCTAATGAAGATGAAAAAAATTGAAATAGACGTGCATGTTGATGAGTGAGTTTATCTTCGTGAGCATGCAAAATGAAATTTGTTATTGTGTGATTTTGTTTTGTGGACGTTCAAAGTGATATTATAAGTACACTACTTCTACTTTCTACACTACGGTATATTAAGAGTGGATAGATAATGGATTAAGGCAGAATATAATAGGTAGTTAGGTAATATGTTATTTTTATAATATGGATAAACATTTAACGAGAAAAATGATAATAATAAAAATAGTAAATATCTTACAAGTGCGCTTGCAATTTGTTGGGAAGAGCATTTTCTTCCTTTCCACTACCAACCAACCACGCCATGCAGAGGAATGTAGAACAGTGTAGACAGAAGTGGGTAGAAGATTTAATAAAAAAATGAAACAATACAGCAACGTTAGGTGATTATCCCGGCACCATTTTTTTAATGGATTATTTTTAATATCTGAATGACTAAATATTTCTTCTCAGCAATTACTCGATTCGCATTACTGATTTCAATAATTGGCGTTGAATTTTAGGGGGAGAGTTTGAATTGATAATTTGCGTACTTCGACCAACTTCAACAACACAATTAATGCACGCACGAAATGGAAGAGCGTCGATACTCAGTGAAGTTGCATTTTGAATTTTTTAACTTTGTGCATGAGTAATGAAAATTGCAGACAGTGCTCACATAATTTGCTTCACAACATTTATTCGTCCAATTATACATCGGTGATTCGAATCGGAATTGCAATTATAATTATAGTTTATCCATACCATCACCACAATAATATAAATAATTGATAATCCATTAATTAGTTTATTTATCGAGTTCAATTATTCATCGACAACGAAAATCATTATCCCTAATATATGCGCCAATAACTACAGTTATCAATCTATTGGCAAAATGAGTATTAATTTCCTTTTCCGCGATAAACAATCATACGATTATACGACTATACGATTGCAAATTGAATTCATATCGAGAATTCTTTGTTTAGCTGTGACCCTGAGGTATTGAATTTCCAATGGAATTTATTATATTCAACCGTCGAAACAATGGGAAAAAAGGCAGAAAAAAATTCAAAGCTAGCCTGGATATTCCATTTCCCGATATTCGAATGACCATCCGACCATTTAGTTTAAAAAATGTTCATCGCATTATTGTGACATTTCTAAATTCTCAAATGATTTGATGTGGAAAATACCGTCATTGGGTGGGTAATCAGAGAATGGACGCGTCATTAATGAATTCATTAATGAACCGAGTGAGCGATGGCTAACACAGCATGACTCTGACCATTATCAATTTACTAGCGTGTCGTATCATACGAAACTTGCCTTCATTCCAACAAAATTAAAATAACAAAACGACACTAAATGAATTTTCCGCAGTGGAAAAAAAACGTAATAATGCGGAATAAATGAACATGAGAGATAACACAATAGCAGCTTCTTTAACGAAGTCGAAGCCAGCGAAGCCTGTGATAATCTCAATGATAATCGATAAAGCAATACTAGTCATAATAATCTTCACCATAAACAAACTTCCCTCAACACGATTATATACTTTCTTTGCTGGGTGTAACACAACAGCCGTATTTTCTTACATACGTCAAGTATAGCATGAACAAGTGAAGTCTTACCTTGCACTAGCTAGTCTCGAATGCTCTTTGCTCTTCATGGAGACAGTGGTGTTGGCGTGCCGACACATCATGTATATGGCCATGGATAAGAACACCAAATTAGCCTATCAAAGAATAATTGGATAAATCAATGAGACTCTCTTGGCAGCCTCACGAGCTAGTGCGACAAATTAAAAATAAATAAGAGTGTTACCAAAATAACGAGTATAACAGGGCCAACGAAACTGAAGATGAAATAGTTGTCTGCCCTCAGCCAGCAGTATCGATCAGTGCCATAGCTCAACGGATCGATGATACAGGATATGGCAACAACTAACAGCGGACCGCCATAAGCCACCAGATAGTACCACCGTAAGCGTGATTTCTCCGCTTCGAAAACTTCTATCAGCATCACATAAAGTTGAAAGCCTGTACCAAACGATAAAACATAAGATCTACATATTTACCTCAGTGCTCGATGTAAACGTTGGAAGATTATCTTTTGGACAAAGTGTTTATTCTGGCCAGTTGGCCAAGATAAATCTTACCTTCGAGAAACATCCATGCAAATGCACAAAGGAAGAAGAAGTGTAGCAATCCAGCAACTACACCACACACAATTCTCTGATCCGTCTGTCCAATTCCACAGACAAAGAGTACCTCAGCTATGAGAAGGCACACACATAGATTCTTGTGTATGGTCGTACGGTCAGACTGTAACATAATAGTCAGATATTCCATGAGAGCACCCAAATTCAGGGCAATGTAGCTTTATTAAATTTCATTCTCCTTTGGGGATTCTAATGAAAATAAAAAAAAAAGTGGCATGAGGAAAGGAAAACTAAACTTACTTTGAGCCCACGAAACAGCTGAAATGTCATGATGGCCAGCACGAGGCATACCACTGAGATGATACATCCGATATACGTGATGATTTGTAGCGCGACCTGATGGGCCATGTCCAGTTTCACAGCATGCACGTCCATCAGTACAGCAAAGTTTGTGAGATGATTGCACTCACATACTGTATGAGTCCCGTTTGTTTCACGTATGTGACAGCCCTCCCCCGACCATGAACTATAAACAGTTTTCAGTTTAATTCCGTTCTGTTTCTTACAGTTGAAAGTCCCTGTCTGATAGTACAATATTAAATCTAGGGGTAAATGCAGATTGAAATTGTAAATAACAACAAATCAAAACACGGAAAGGAATGAGAGAAAGCTGAGGATTTTACAAGAATGGATGAAAAATCTTTGCGAGAATCTCGACGAAATGTATGTAAATACGAAAAGAAAATAATAAAGCATGCCAGAAAGAGGTCAAATAATGAAGAGAAAGGATCAGATAGGATATTATGCTGCTGAAAAGGTATTTCTATGGATTTTTGAATTCCTATTTATGACAAGGCGCCCTGTCTCGAAGAGAGATATCTCGGGTATAGAATAAATGAGCTCAAGTTTCCTTTTGTGCCCAAAATCCATTATTATAAATGTCTGGATAAAGACTCTCTATATTTTCTCTCTTTTTATTTCTCATAATCTTACCTCATTACGTAATCCCAGAATACACAAGTGGGATTCGTTACATTCTCCGTGGTAAGATGCTCAAAGTAAATGCGTACGGGCTCCGAGAGTTGAATATGACGTCCTTTTCCCAGCGAAGCTGAGATGACTTTACTGTTTAGTATCCTATTGCTTATGCTACGGTGTCTAACATCTTCGTTTAATGAAACAAAGGATTCCTCTTGCTGTGGCTGAAGTATTTCTTCCAGCCGATCAAATGCCATGAATACGAGTCTCACCAGGCCCTCATCTCTGTTCTCCAACAGTGATTTTCTTGTTAATTCTACTCGATCATTCGACGCTGTCCACCTATCCCGCGTCGATTCAGATGGAAATATCTCGACTTTATTGTCGATATTTCGCGTTTCCAATACTCGTACCTCCATTACTGTGAGAGCCAATGGTTTTATTGTAATTTTAGGCGTTAAATTTTCCACGGTAATATTCATTCAGATTGATGCTAAATAGGGTGATGGGGATAGTAAAGTTATGCCACTGTGCAAATGGCGATCATTACATTGTAGAAAAAAATTTAGTGTGATTACCAATTGTAATGATCCTGTTATTAGTTATTGCAAGGATTATTATTCTGTATTTTATGAAATTGGAATCTATATGATTAACGTAACAATCTTTAATTGTAGCGTTTACTGGTAAATGGAATTGATGGTTTTGTTTGATAATCAAATTGCTGTGAAAATGCCATCAGTGAATGGCACTCACTGCAGCATTCTCGGGTTTTTTTTTTCCAATCTTTCAAAATAAAGTGGAAACTTTCTAGATATTTATCTGAAAAGCAATTTAGGTGTAGCAACTCACAAATATTTTTGCCCTCCTGAACAATGGTCTTCTGATGATGTAGCGTGCCAGCAAGGAGAAAAGCATTTTCCTCGAGACCAATGAGTAGCGAGGTTGCAACTCTCATTTGGTCCTCGTGACTTAAATCTTTCCACGATGCCATTTGCGCTTTATCCAGCAAATTGCTTCCCGTTCTAACAACACCTTGCAACAGTTCAGTGACCGTGAATTCGCTCTGGCTTGAATCACGATAAGTACTGATATCCTGGCTCATTTTTTCCGCCATATTTTTGATGATTTTTGTTGTGATCATCATGTCACCGCCATAGAATATTCTACTGTTATTGGTGACAGCAGACAAATCGTCACTGATGGTCAGAATTTTGTCTCCTGATTGGACTCTTGTCTCGAGGGAGGACAACCACACGGACCGACATTCACTGAGATCCGGTGAATCTCTGTACCAGGTGGCTGAATCCTCAGTGGCTATGCATCGCCACCTAGCCACACCGTTAGCACCACCTGGACAACTCTGCACGGCAATGTCACCTGCTCTCGTTGCATTCCAGAAGAGATTCCTTGCCATTGTTGGCTGGCAGTACAACCGAGTGTAGTCATACCATTTGCCATTTGCGTTTGGATCGGAATAGGGAATACTCGTTGACACTGCAAAAGAAATCATGTGAAAAACCACCACTTCGACAACATTCAACGTCTAATGATCTCAATGTTTCTATTAAACCCAGTGGAATTTAGTAGCGAACAAATACAGGGTAACAAGTTTATTCAGCCAACAGCTAACTTCTCGGGGAATATCTTTCAATCTAAGAGAGAGAGAGAGAGAGAGAGAGAGAGAGCGATTTTTTGTGAATACCTTTTTTGTAGTTTTTGGTGCAGTCTACAAAAAATATTCAGTGATCAATTTTACCCTATACCCCTTCGTTACTAAATTTTATCAGAAACTTTAATCAATTGAATTAGAGTCCCTTTAACCTTAAGTTGTATATTTCACGTGGAAGTGATGTTGAAATCGAATGCAAGTGGAAAAAATTTTGGAAATTATGTAATAGCAATTGGAATATAAGAAATCGTGAGAAGCAGTACGGAAGAAGCCATTACAATGTAACATCAGTGGTAGTAAATTTAATAGAGGATTCTGTACCTATGGGTCTTCTGCTGGTTTTCCACGATGCATATCCAGTCTCTGTCGTCGACTCTGTGGTCTCGGGGGTGGGTACCACAGGCGCTCCACTACCCCTCGAAGGATTCAATTCAACCTGATCCTCGTCATTCTCATCCAACGTTCTCATTGTGCTCGTTGAACTGCAAAATATTGAATATTTTATGTCAATTTAGTCTGTGTCGTCGGAAGAATGTGAAGAGTTGTGGGATAAAAATGTTGAACGCTGGAGTTTACCTGAGGGGTGTTGTCACAAGCGGGCTGAGGGTTGTTATCGGTGGCAGTTGGGATGGTGGAATCGTTGCCCTCGATGGTGGGCGGACACTTGGGCTCGATGTGCTCCATACACTCGGCTGTGAAGTTATCAGCCACGGTGGACTTGGCCTTGACGTTGTCGTCGTTGTAGCAGCTGCAAAAGACACGATTCATTTTTCTATCTGGGATATAGCCCATTCAATACATTTTCTTTTTTTTTTTCAACTTCCACTTGGCTTGTTTCACATTGAGAATAGGATTCACTATCGGCGCATTTCGAGCTCATCGTTCATGCGTACGTTTCAGTGTTTATTCTCATCATTCCTTTTATCGATTCCAAGGAGAACGTGACAATCGTTTATTTACTTACCAGACAGGCACTGATAGTGCGCCTCAAGATACTTGAGGGTATTTGGGCATGGATCCCCAAAATGCGACGTTGACGCTGCTATGCTGCAGTTCTGTTTCTCATTGCACCTGATGAGATCCAACGAGGGTAAGAAAGGAAATTAAAGTTCATTAGAAATTTTTCATCAAGTTACTTTGCTTTGTGCACATCGCCATGGATCTCTGGGGTGTGTGCTCCCTGAGAAAGCTATTCCCTGATAAATTGCTACTCCCCAAGTACAAATTCCAAAAAAATCGAATACATTCGAGATCAAGGGAGCCGCTCCTCTGTCTGACAGAATACAGGAAGTACTGGGGAATACAGGTAAATTTATTCAACTCATATCGTCGAAAAATGCGAAGAATATTTAATATGACGGAATGTGAGCGATACTGTGAAGACATTTGTCAATGTCATTGTGTTTGTGAGAATCAACAATGGTTTGTAGACGGGGATTATGATTATAATAAATTTATTTTCTCAGGCGTAAGAACGACGTTTTCCGACATCCTTTATCGTTTGAATTTTTTTGTTGAATTTCCGGTACATTTTACGGCAGCTTTCATCGTATTAAGGCTTCGAGAATTCAGCGAATTTGGCAAAGGGAAATTTAACGTAATTCGGTTATAAAGCCAAAAAATTTCCTGACTTTTCGTAACAGCATAAAATTTAAAGGAATTTATTGGGGTAGCAATTTTCCGACAATATCTTTCCAGAAAAGCATGGAGAAACTATATATTCGTGATATAATTTCATTGATCATCGAAGAAATATTTTGATCATGTCCTTCGGAATCAATTGTTCCCCAGGATTGATAAGTGCTTGTTTCTCCCAGTGGAAAAATTCAAAAAGTTTATAGGTATCTGTAATAGGCAACGTGGTGAATTTGTGCAAGGATAATACGCCATCATTTTTCGCACCCTGGAGCTTCTCGCCCAGGTCGTTCAGGAAGGCGGACCACGTATTGGCGTTCAGCCTCTCGTAAAATCTTTCGCCTGGCGCTAGACATTATCGTACTTTTTCCCCGTTTGTACTCCCTTTCAATTCTTTTTTCCCCTCTCCTCTACTTTTTTATTCCCTACCATTTCTCGTTTCTTTTCTCTTTCTTCACTCGAAGGTAAAATGGGAAATCGTGGGCTTTTATCGCGTCGATTGATTTTTATTTGTCTCTGGCTGACTCCCCTTCAGCTTCATCCTAACCCATTCCCAGTCCGGTCGTTTTCCCAATACCACATTCAGCGATACGCTCCAATGATCATGCATCCTCGGATCCACTTTAAACCGAGTCAAGAAATTTTCCACGTGTTGTTGCACGCTTGACCTATATGCAATTGACAGAAAAGCCAAGAAGTTCTTTTCCATACAGTTGTAGCAACTCGAATGAGTCACTTCGAGGGCCCTTGTCTGGTTAATGACTCCAACCCTCTTGTTTGAGGAAACAAAATCCGCTTGAAACTATCGACATTTTGGTTTTGCTTCCATTGTACTCCATTGGACGAGCTCGATGCGCCAGAAGGGGGTAGTTGGGTGGAATGCCAGAATAAAAAAATTATCGTCGTCGGGAGAAACAAAATAGAAAACCAACCTATACAATGAAACTGTGCTTCGATGTATTTTCCGGTTCCGGGACATGGGTCCTCCTCGAAAAATTGACTGTTCACATCCAGGATGCACGAGCGACGACCGTTGCACCTGCGGTGGTCACGTACAAAAATAAATAACAGAGAAAAGAAAACGAAACTATACCTCTCCCCGTCTTCTCATGTTAAATTGGTTCGTTCTAATTATTTTTTAAAGGGGTAGAAAAAAACAAGTTAGAATAAACCCATCACGGGAATTGAAATTACGGTGTACTGTTAATGCAAAGCCCATTCAAATGGTGGAGTTTTTGAGGGTGGGTTAGTTGTAATACGTGAACAACAAACGAACCAGATAGACAACGCACTGAAGGGAACAAAAAAAAAATCTGCAGCGCGAGAAGGTTGTTGTGTGCTGACAGAACAATTGGAGAATAATGAATGCACAGAGTGTTAGCAGCAGTGACAGTAATGAGACGAAGAATTAGCGACAGAAAATGTTTGCTGTTGCTTCCTTTTTTACCCTCATTTTCCATCCCCCACTTTTGCTACGATGAAGGGACAATGAAGCAGTGAGCTGAATTTATTCCAGTGAAAAGTTTGTAGTCTTGAAGAAGGGAGAATTAAGGAAGAAGGTCACAGCAACCCAGAAAAACAGTTTTATTCAACAGAAAATTCACCCGAGTTTTTTTCTTGATTGTCATTATAATGGGACCTCAGAATAGCAGTCCAGGATGAGTCTTGCTAACGAATTGGATAAAACTAATGATTAGTCGAAGTGTGCTCCCAACGTAAGACACAATTCCCAATGGTTTATTATGTTCTTTCACAATTGAGAGAAACATGCAGTGGAATTATTGTTCGTTTGTGTATAAATAATCGACGAAAAACAACTCAACTAGCTTTTCGGGGTAGAGGTAGATAGCCATGCCCGGGATAGAGAACGAACAGACACCCCTCTGGCATTTCTTCACCGTTTTGTTTTACGAATGCCATACTCCATCCACCGTTTGACTCAACGTTAACAACATCAGAAAGTTTTGATTTGTGCGGAGAAGATGTTAAATGTTGAAAAAGAACATATATTCAGGATAAAAGCGATGATATCAGATGAAGGGAGTTTGGGAAACTGGCGGTTGGACACGAGAAACTGTCGTTTGGTGCTGATGCATGTAATACCCGGTGGTATTATTCCATTAAAACCTGATAGTGACACTGGGAAAGATATTAAACTATAGTGCTCCATCAAAATACCACAGTGAAATGCTCGTATACACTCGCGCTTCCATTTTTGTTTCCCTCCACGGTTATAGTTGCATTTCGCGTTGAAGATATTATAACGTTCCATCCGATTTTATTGATCTCTTTCACATCCACCCGTAATCTCCATTATTATCTACCTCCCTTCGGTCGCATCAAAGACATGTCTCGAGTGTCACACCATAGGCTGACGGGGAATAAATAATTCGACGGCTAGACGTCACTGATTTTTAACGATCTCACACGTCCATTAGGTTCAGAATTTCATCTAAATCAGAATACTCAATTATTGTTAGATTTTTCTCCCATTGACGACCCGTTTTTTCACGCTTTGCCGAATTTTTCATCCCTTTCCACTGCCTCCACCTTAAACGAGTTGATTACCACAAATCCTTCAATTCCCGCACTGAA